CTAAATCTGCAAAGTGAGTGCTGTTTCCTCCACCAGGTGGTTGGTGTGTTCATGGCGTAAAACTACGCATGAGATTTGAGGCCACGTTTCAGATATTCAACGCAATTCATGAAATGTTTCGTGATGTTGCATTTACCCCTACATAGTATGCAGAGGGATGAATGGCGGCGGTAATTTACGTTTACCTGTTACCCTGGGAACCTCAGCTAGCAGAGAGAGCTTCGGCTAACAGTAAATGATGCCCACTTCCTTTCTTCGTTCCAGCCGAGTGCTGAAGATAGAAAACCATCTTCGCGGGCTCATTTGTTCTCAATATCACGAAACCGGATGGGATGGAGGCCACAACAGTGGAGAAACATGATACCGCTCTGCGGAAACTATAACGTGCGCTTCAGGTTTGTAGTTTTTTTCTAGACCAACTAATAACCCGAAATTAACTGAAGCGGGATAAATGCTCATATCAGGTACGAATCGATATGTTGCCGGTTTGATGTACGAAACGTCTTTTAAAAACTATATAAATCCTCCCGCAACTATTCTTCTTGCTATTTTTAGCTTGGCCACACCGTCAAGGAAAGATTTTGCGACATCGTTATGGATGTGACGACCCACCATGAGCTAACTGTAAACGAGTTGTCCTCGAGGGATGAGCTCACGTGTTTCAAGCCAGTTTTGGATTAATTCAAGACGCAGTGCTCCTCAATTATTCAGGTGAGTGGAACTCGTGCTGCACGTAAACAAACGTGGAAAACTATGCATAAATTATTAGACAATCAAATTACTCTTGGTTTTCAAGCCCGATATAACAGAGATGACTTATGGAAAATGAAGTGATGGGTTTAGTAAAGATCAGCTAATTTGAGTTCAGGTCACTTCTGTTCAGTTATGTTCAGTTTATTTCAGTTCACTATAGTTTGGTTTAGTTTAGTTTAGCTTAGCATAGTTTAGTTTAGTTCAGTTTACTTTAGCTTAGTTTAGTTTAGTTTAATTTAGTTTAGTTTATTTTAGTTTAGTTTAGAGTAGTTCAGTTTGGTTTAGATTATATTAGTTTAGTTTAGTTTAGCTTAGTTTAGTTTAGTTTGTTTAGCTTAGTTTAGTTTAGTTTAGTTTAGTTTAGCTTAGTTCAGTTCAGGTAATTTAAATTTAGTTCAGTTCAATTTAGTTACGTTTGGTTCAGTTCAGTTCAGTACAGTTCACTTCACTTGACTTCAGTTCAGTTTCGTTTGGCTTAGTTCAATTCAGTTTAGTTAAGTTTAGAGGAGTCCAAGTAGGCTAAGTTCAATTTAGTTTAGTTCCATTCAATTCAGTTCAGTTCAGTTTAGTTCAGTTTCCTTTAGTTCAGTACAGTTCAGTACAGTTTAGTTCAGTTCCATTCAGTTCAGTTCAGTTCAGTTCAGTTTAGTTCAGTTCATTTCAGCTCACTTTAGTTCAGTTCATATCAGTTCAGTTTATTTCAGTTCACTTGAGCGCAGTTCAGTTTAATTCAGTTCAGTTTAGGTTAGTTTAGTTTTGAGGAGATCATTAAAGCTCAGTTCAGTTTAGTTTAGTTCCGTTCAATACAGTTCAGTTCAGTTCAATTTAGTTCAGTTCAGTTCGGTTCAGTTCGGTTTAGTTAAGTTCAGTTCAGTTCAGTTCTGTTCAGTTTCATTTGGTTCAGTTCAGTTCATTTTCATTTGGTTCAGTTCAGTTCAGTTCAGTTCAGTTCAATTCAGTTCAGCTTAATTCAGTTCACTCCACTTTATTTCAGTTTAATTCAGTTTATTTCAGTTTAGTTTATTTTGAAGGAGTTCATTAAGCGCAGTTCAGTTTATTTTTTTCTGTTCAATTCAGTCCAGTTTAGTTTAGTTCATTCCAGCTCAGTTCAGGTTCATTTATTTCAATTCAGTTCAGTTCCCTTTAGTTCAGTTGAGTTCAGTTCAGTTCAGTTCAGTTCAGTTCAGTTCAGTTCAGTTCAGCTCAGCTCATTTCTGGTCAGTGCAGTTGACTTCAATTTAATTCAGCGTGGTTCTATTCAATTCGTGTCAGTTTTTCAGATCATCTGACTGACCCTACTGACCGGCGTGCATTGGTAAATCCGGCGGCGACTGAATCCCATCTGAAATCACCCGTATACCCTACAACTTAATAGATTTAGATCGGAAGTAACCAGGAACAGTGGCGAAGAGGCGCCCCTTCATTTTCGAATGATCCGTGTTCAGCATCACTAAGGAATGTAATGAGGCAACATTTGGTTAGCCATTCTGGCTAAAATTATGAGTAATATTATTATTCAAATCTCACAATTTCAAGAGACATTTACCGCACAAATCGACGTCCAAACGCAGGTGCGCTGAATCAGTAGCAGCGTGCGCGTCTCAATTTCACTGTTTTAAAGACCACTTCGAATGTCTGTTGATTTATCCGTGATTAACCAGTACACCGTGATACAAATCTCGTTTTTTTAATCCATGGGAGCAGCCACTTTCCGAAAAATGTCGTTCGATTCCATCCGCAAGAGTTTCCTTCAAAGGACACGGATGCTAATTGCATCGTCGGACTCACTCGGGTCCGACCGTCTGAAATGACGGTATGGTGCTCCTATGCACCGGTCTTCGGGGAGGAGTTAATCCGCAAGTTTTTTAGTACTCATAACTGATCAAACACAAACACGCAGCAACAAGCTTCATCGATGTTTTTATCCGACCAAAAAGCATACTAGACCAGTGTTGATTCCAACCATTTTCCAATATCCGCAGTAGCGGCAACGCAGCATTGCTCATCATCTCTGATAGTGAAGCTTTACTAATGAGGTGTAACATCTGCCTTTTTCAAACGATCGAGGGCTTATTAAACACACCTGCTCTTGGTTAGTTGATATCCACTCTCCACATACTTAGCAATCGATCGCGTGAATGGATGATTACTCATTGTCGAATCACATGTTACAGTTGTTCAGCGTACACAGTTTACCTTCAGTTGATTGCTCACCGGAGATCCCTCGGATCTCCAAACGCACTTGACTTACAGTTCAATTTACAGTTCAATAATAAAACTACGGACCACCATTGTCACACAAAAACAAGTAGGAACATGCGGGAACCGAATGTATGCTTTCCTTTGTGTGGGCATTTTGGAACTCTCAAAAATCGATTCTGTACAGATGGAGTCCATTCGAACGCAGAGACATCCCCCTTGTTCGTCTGATTTCATACAGCATAATCTGATGACGGAGGATGGTCAATCGAAAGGAACCCGTGTACAGTTAACTAACTCATATACCTTCGGTGGGTTATCAACAAGCCGAGTTGTCTAATTGCTTTCAAATATACTCAAAACCGTCCCGACCGGTTTCGCATCCTCCACATTTACGGTGGATAACAGTTGCAACCAGAATCATGGACGTTCGTCACCATTTCAAGCACCTCATAATGAGCAGCATAAACTAGACTACTCAGATGGTTAAGACAGCTCGCGACCAGTTTTGGTTTTATTCGGACTCATCATGTGGGCCAATTCCCGGGTTTCCATCAACTTTGTGTTCAGTTGTGTATTCAGTTGAAGCAAACCATCAGTGGCGGGATTCAAGCGGATTCATTTGTATCTCCTGTCAAAGGCAAATTCGCATGCAATTGGGAGCATTTGTAAAAATCATTCTCATTTGGGTTCACGTAGAACCTGAGGTTGACAGAATCTCGGGTATTGCGACTGATGAGCCCCGATTCAAGCGGATTCATTTGTATCTCCTGTCAAAGGCAAATTCGCATGCAATTGGGAGCATTTGTAAAAATCATTCTCATTTGGGTTCACGTAGAACCTGAGGTTGACAGAATCTCGGGTATTGCGACTACCTGATGAGCCCCAAGCGGGCAAAGACGGTCAACTTAGTGCTACGTGTTTCGTTTCAGGGTTCACGGAGCTTCACTCATCTTATACCTACCCGAAAACTTTCGCGTGTTCCCAGTTACAATCCAAGGAGATTATATCAGAACGCTTCGAAATGCCCAAAATTCAGATATGCCGATACTCACCAACACGTCACATGTATACGTTTTAGATTCGCCGGCCCACAGTTAACTCTAACTTTAGTGTACTTCACAGACAATCTTAGCCTCTGTTTGGTATAATGACCACATTTTCTCGAGAATGGTAATTTTGGTTGGTGGTTGTTGAGGTGAATGTTGTGTGAACAAATTGCCGATTGATTAAAGGCAGTCTTAGTCATTAGTGCACTCTTGAGATGGACATGTATGATCCTCCGTCCGTCGCATCCGCGGTGGATCTTTCGTTTACACGCCTAGACTGACTTCGTCGCTGAGATTCTGCTGTCTATCTCTCTTCAGGTCTTCGAGTTAGCTCAGCAAACAGCTCATCTAATGGAGCTGTGCAAAGCCGGGTACGATGCCGGAACTCTCATTGAGTGTGTCCACGACGTCTGTTCCTAACGAGCACGTATTCTGCTGTGTGATTTCACCAAAATAAAATGAATTGCAATTGGCCCCTATCGTGTTCTGCTACCGTTACAAATTACGTTGTATTTTCCATCAAAATAGCTGTCCAGAATCGTTGGGTGCGAAGTAATTCAGCCCAAACCGTCGGCAGTCTAAAGCCTTGTAGACTCAACAAGACGCTTTCACTAATGTGACGTACCATCAGATTTACAGAACACAATGAAAATGGTTCAGTCAATCGACACAGGTAGAGCAGCTGTGTGTCCATCTGCCGACCCAAACGCACTACTCAAGTTACAGTTTTTCTCTGCAATATTCTTCACTCCATTTTCAGCCATTTTCACTGTGGCCGGACCAGAGATGTTTTGTCAAACTTATCGTCACCGAACTTGAATGAGTTCTCATACAATCCCATGCAACCTCATTGAATTTTTAGTTGAAGCCTTTGAAACGGTTTCTGTTATTCTAACAATCAGGCAGGCACGAAGTTGATTGGAATAGTCTGATTGTGCAGTTGTACTCTTGAGAGCCTGGCAAGCTGATCTTGTAGTGTTATATTCATCAATTTTTCCCATGTTTATGCGCGTGGAACGGGGCCGACTTACATCGAGCACAATTTTCAAGTCGCCCAAAAGAGGTAAGTTTGGATGAACCGCATGTGCGTCACCGCACAGAAATGTAAACACGGGCGAAACCGATTACCATGGGAGGAAGAGTACCTACCTAGGAACCGACCAATAAAACCCCAAGCGACAAAAAGAGCCGGTTTGCCAGATGCTTGAAACGACCGCCTACACAAATGATTGCCGCATACCCATATAAAGCGCACTACCGGTTTCTCCATTCTGGGTTCCATTGTATAGGCATACTAAGTGATGTTTAATTAAAGAATACTGATGATAGGAAAACGCAGACGAATACATCAAAGACCAAAAACGTCATTCAGTAGATAGCGTGTGACAGTTGGCCTACACGATTAAAAGATTAACCTGGGATTGACAAAAGATCATTTGCACTTGACAGTCATTCCGCGGTTGAAAAGACAAGTCAAAACGCAGACAACTCCCGCTATTTCCAGATTAGCCACGTCGTCAAGGAGACATTTCACGACATCGTCATGGATGTGGCAACCCATCATAAGCGAACGATACAGGGCTTGTCCAAGAGGGATGAGCTCACGTGTTACAAGGGAGTATTCGATCAATTCCAGGCGCACTGCTTCACAATTCAGCAGGTGAATAGACTTCGTGGTGCAAGCAAACGATGGTGCAAAATTTCTATACATTATGTTCCAGTGCATTCAGCCTTGGTATCACATAAGATGGGTATAAGTCCCAGAGTATTCAAATGACACTTATGCTAGGAGATTTCGGGGCAAATCTAGTACTCACATCACTAGCACTCTCGTCCATTTCTTGAAATCGGACGTTCATCCCGAAACGTGGTTTCAAAGGCGTGTGGGCTATTTTTGCAAGCAAGTTTATGTCTATGCCGTGATCACGAGAGCGAATCATAAAAGGTGGAAAGTGATGTGCATTATTCGGATTTATAAGCAATCGGAATTGTTCAGGAATAAGATGTCCGAATGCATGGAATGAATACAGCAACAGTGACGGCAGTTGAATAAGTCTTCCGAGTACAGTTCAGTTCAGCTCAGTTCAGTTCAGTTCAGTTCAGTTCAGTTCAGTTCAGTTCACTTAAGTTTATTTTAATGAAGTTAAGTTCAGATCAGCTCAGTTATGCTCCGTTCTGTTCAGTTTCCTTCAGTGAAGCTCAATTGAGTTCAGTTTAGAGTAGTACAGTTCAGTTAATATCAGTTAAGCTTGGATCAGTTCATGTTAGTTCAATTCAGGTAGGTTAGGTTCAATTAGTTTCACTCCTGTTCAGTTGAGTTGAGTTGAGTTCAATTCAGTTCGGTTCAGTCCAGTGCAGTTCAGTTGTGTTCAGTTCAGTAGACGTGACATCAGTTCAGTTCAATTCAGTTCAATTCATTTCAATTCATTTCAGTTCAGTTAAGTGTTTAGCTCGTCGGAAATGAATGAAGCCCTAGCTTGCCCTATCCGATCACCAGGGCAGTGTGATTGCTTTTTTACCGACGTGACACCGAACATTCTTTACGAAGTATTCGCGTGTTCAACACTGCTAAGGAATGTGGTGAAGCCCAATTTAGCCAGCAATTCTGGGTGAAGATCCTGGTATTTTTTACTCTAATCGAACGATTTCGAGGAAGATTTTCCGAACAAATCGGCGGAAGCTGGGCGATCACTGGCAAGTTTCGTTTGTTTAATAATCGCTGTGTAAACGCCCTAACTATTCACGTCTGCCGGAATTCGGAAAACTTAGTCGAACTCACCTTCGGAATCGGCGTGAAGAACCCGAAGATCTCCCTAATGACCGACCCATCAAAAGAAAATGGAAATCCGATTAGTAGTCATATCCTGCTGACTCTACAAAGAGGACTATTATTGAGTGGATCTCTATTACATCAAAAGAGACTGCAACCGGTTTGAGAGGTTTTGAGTTTTCGAATAGATACCGTCAATTTTTGAACTTTGTACAACAGGTTCAGCTGCTTACTCGGAATCATTTCGGGTGTCCATAAGAGGATTGGCCGTGGTTGCTACCAAACGGGTGGCTTGGTGACATCCATTTTTAGAAATTTTAGACCATCTTTGAAGGGAACTCTAATTTAGAGCGATTAGGACCTGTTTCTGGATGTGGATTTATGCTTCACTGAATATGATGTCTCTTGGAAATCGAATCACTATAGACTACTTACACTATTTGAGTAAGTGAACACTGGGTTTCGGTTTAGAATATCAGTTTCACGAGATCCACAGCGAGATAAGTTACCTCAATGCTGTGGTGAGAAGTTACTTGTCATGGCTTGGGGGAAATTCACATCGACATACACAGACTTCTCGAAGTCTCTTGCTTATCGTTACCTTTTCCTCGATTAAAGTGGCTGTTGCACACCCAATAACTCGTTTGCTGGTTAGATCGTCGTGGATTGCCAGACATCAGTTTACATCAGCTTCAGTTCTGGGATCACGGCTTTTGATCGACTTTTTCGCAGTGGTCATATATCACAGCTAAACCACCAAATAACGCCTACAGTAGCGTGACATACAGACTGAAGAGTTATCCCGCCTCGCCACAATGCGTGTATCGAATAAGAAAAATGATCCGGAGTTTGCAGATTCGAGGATGTACCCCATCCATTACAAAATAATGTGGCATTACGCATGAGGTTTGAAGCTAGCAAATCAGGAGCTCCATTAGACTCGGAGGTGCACGAAAACTTGTTCACCGTTACGAAATTGCCAGTTTCACTGGTTATTATTGAAAATCTAATCTCGTAAGTGAAACCATGAAGAACTGTTCATCCATATATATATNATATATATCCAGAATTGTGTTCACACTCATAGTGCTTCACTATTCTCAGCGTAGCACATATTTTCATCTGAGAAGCACAAATGAAAAACCAAATAATTTAGTGAGTTTATGGCTATGGTTGAAAAATAAGATCTTCAGTCTTGAGTTCCAGAATGGTTAAGGGAATGGGGAAAATATTTTATACGCGTGCCGTTTTGCTGCTAACATATATGTTGCCGTTGGTTGAAACAAATGTTGTCGCCCAATAAACGTGTGGCTATTCACAAACGTTTGCAGTTCGTGTCATCACCGAATATTATGGGATCACTCAATTTTGCCTATTGTTTTACTGCCGATCCACTGTGAATTTGATTGCCGGTCTCGTTACAATAACCAACGTCGATCTGAAAATATTGAATTAACCTAGGTTAACCTAAGCCCAAGACCGAAAATTCAACTTTATCCATGAAAGAACAGTGATTTCCCTCCAGGGACAAGGCATTCTTGTATAAAATTAGAATCTCTGTCAGAGAGGTGGACAAAATTACACGAATAAACGCCACTGAGAATATCATTATCCGGATGATCTTTATCCACGGATAAACCCCAAATACTAGTGAAAATCTGATTTGAACATTGAAAATGTCTGTGCAAAGTTTTAGAATTGGATGGAGTTTTTGAAGCCCCAACATCTCTCACAACCGTCGCAGATTTCTTTTGGAAACCAAATCAAGCTGGAGATGCCGCTGATGGCTGGCTCCCAGTGTCACTCGCATTTTTGTTGTGGCCCACTCCGGGTAGGTGTGAATGCATGCTTGGAGCTGTAGGCACTGAGAACGATTGTAGTGATCAAACACTAAGTCACTTACTAACCAACATTATTCTTATCTGCAGAGTATTCTACAAAGTTTTCCAATAAATCTTCGTTTTACAGCAGCGAAGCATTGATGTCATGCTGTCCCAGGCGAAGCTAATGGGAATGGGGTTGATGATGGTGATGACGGTGAAGATCACGATATGCCACCAGGACGAAGCATAACTGGTTGTGTTGTGTTGAGCACGCTTTCTCAAGGTGAAATGTTGGTTGAACATCCGTTGAATGTCGAATTCTAGTTGACATTCATGTCATAAACAAGCCTATTGGACAGGGCACAAAGTGAAAAGGAGAATTACGCGATACCGTTCTACAGAATCAGAACATGGAAAAATACTAACAATTTGTATGGTTTTGGACTTTCACTAAAAATTTTACCAAGCACACCAAACCTACAAAAGAAGTTTAGACTTCATCTCATTGCCTTCTGAAGTTCAAATTAGCTTAGGAAATCAAGATAACTCACTGGTTAAGGCATCCCTCTGGCAGTATGACCGCTGAATAACAAACGGTGCTGAGGCTGAATTACTTCTATATTTATCATAGTTTCAATATGAAACCTGATATTTATCACTCTGAATATCTGCGGATTATTTTCAACTGCAGTGTCCTGAGGATTGCACGGGTGAACCTAAGATATATCCTCTTCGCAAACAGAATCCATCAGAATCAAAGTGAGCACACATGTCGTTACAACTACCTGCCGAATGCTTTTTACTCGACCGTTCCAATCGCTGGAAAAACATGTAGAGAAATTGCCCACTCGGGTTACCATACAGTTTATTTCTCACCTGGTTGTTGATCTGCCCTTCAAGCGCAACAGTGGAATTTCCAAGGTTCCGTTACACATAGGCTTTCTGTGGTGTTAATGATTCATATGCCGGTGACAGTGAAATGTGTTTAACCTAACTGCGAAGCTGAGCAAACTGGTTGACTGTCATTTGGTAGACAGTGCAAAAGGGTTGCACACTTGTCCCCTATTCCTCAGAGATCGTTGTTGGAGGTGTTCCAGACGGATGATTCACAAGCTATGGGCTTCTACAGAAGGAAGGTTATATTGAATACGATTCTCCAAATAGGAACGTTTACCTGCTCCCATGCATTCTCAACACGTATTCTCCACCACACAAATCAATTCTTACCCAGAGCGGTCTTTTTATCATGCATTCATTTCCACTTTCGGAATGAATTGTGTACGAAAAAACCACAAACCTGAAGTGCACGGTGTAGAATTCGCCGGGCAATTTATTGTTCCTCCTTGTTTTTGGCCTGGTGTACAAGTGGGAACGGTGTTTGAAAGCGACGGCACCAAGTATACCCTGAAGTAATTTTATTGCCGATCTTTGCGTGCAAACACAACATGGAGGACACGACAATAGGCATGTAAACCGCAAGGGAATCAGAATGGTTGCTGCGGGTCACAACTGTGATTCCATTTCAGGCAATTAGCGTTAAATTATCTCCCATTTATTGGTCACATTTCGCTGTTTGTTGAGTGGCTTAACTCTTGTCCATACGTAATATCATAAGTTTTAAAACACAATCCAATGACCCTGGATTGCACGGACAAATAGATAGCTGGACTGGCCGCATGTAGATCAACAAAGCGGTTCCTAATGTGGCCTAATTTCGGCAAGTGAGATAACCATTCTCAGGGTCAAATCACAAAGGTGTATAGAGTATTGAAACATTTGTCAGCTGCTGAGGGCCATAACTCGTGGAGCTGGGATCTACACGACAAGCATCGGCATATATTTTCTCAGCCGACAAACTGTGGGTCCTCGTGGGATGCGATGCTTGTCATTGCTTCTCATCTTGGCAGTGTGCGCCGGCTTTATTGACTAGGTGGCTTCTCTGCTGGGACTGACCCAACATCTTCATACTCCAAACAATCTATAAGTAGATTGGAGTAAGAATAATTTCACAAGTTGATTGAAACTATTTTCTATGAAACTGACATTCAAGGGACCCATCAACCCGTAATTTTGCAACTTCGTTTCTGTGATTTTAGGATATTGTCGCTACATCCAGTCTAACGCAGAGCCAATCGCACTACTGATCAGCTTATTTTGGCCCAACGTTTACCTGGTTGTTCATTGGGAGGATCAAGGTGCGACAAACAGTCTGATCAAGTGGATGGTTTTCTCTTATAAAATGCAACAGATATTGTAAAGCAAAGCTGTTGAATTCTTCGAATGTGAGCATAAAAAGGTATTTTGGAAGTTTCAGCACATCAGAATTTTGGCATGATTCTACACAGGTTTACGTAATTCCCACATTCGGTATATCAACAGCCCTTTGAATTCGGGCATTTTTCGACACGTATCGGGAAAGTGCGACAATTCGGTGAATTGCCTTATTCGTCAGGGTGTTTATATATCTGACTTTTCACGCGTCAGTCATTTCAATAGGAAACAGGTGCGAATGTCAACGGTGGGCGATTAAATCATAAGTTCTAAGACGCTGGGCTGATTGACTACTTCAGGCTCCAATCAAAAACTACCTTTGCTGACTTTTTCACCTGCTCTCTGTGCGATTTTGGTGCGGTTTGAGGGTGTTGGTAGGTTTTCGGCATTCTTGAATAAGTTTCAAAATCTGACTTTCCTTGCACCGGGTTTATTGAGTCTTCATTCCCTCTGAAAAAGAGGATCGGGCATATAAAATTAGAAAGCTTGTATTCGGTGGATTTCATACATGTACGCAGGAAATTCGTTGTCCTCATCGTTTCGGAACCTTCATTCAGAATAACCTTCGAAAATGGATCTAGTCAGCGTGACTTCGTTCGCCCACGTGAAGTTGACGTCCAAATAATTTTGGCGCAATACGACACATCTACGGTAGTTCATATTTAGGAAACTTGTAAACAAAATAACCATTCGATTGTGGTATACTGATACGCAAAAAACAGACGGGTTAAGGTACGGCCTACATCTAGACAGGAGAATCGGCAATGTCAGGGTCGCGCTCGCACCCCCGACCCTCGGTCCAGTCTACTCTTCTGAGTACCGACAATCGTCATTTACGCTAGGTAACCTGCAGCCTACAAAAATAAAATGCCAATTAACATTTCTGCTTGTCTCGGGATTATCGATTGAGCCAAACATCAAATTTCTGCATACGGTGTTTAGAATTATCCGCATGTAATATAAGTTTTAGGTGATTTATCCCTGGGACAAAAACAACACCGCGAGTAATTTGCGCATATAGAGGGGTCAACCCACTCAACATTGGACAGAATCCTTAAATTTGGTTTACTTAACAATCCAGTTGAAAGAGAACAGTGAACAGGAGACAGTAATCTGGGTACTGTCGTGACTACTTAAGACAACGTTGGTGTGCAAATGAGAGTATTTGCATCCATCGAGCAAATCCGTTCCGTGAAATTAACCCTAGAACGCCCGGGACCTACGGAGTCTCCAGAACTCCACAATAATCTGAATGGTGAAGACAGCAAGCAGGCCAGCCAATCATTCAATCAATTCAACAAAAGCCGACGTGCGTTCATGCATGCCAAAGAAGCACGACCGTATGCGATCAGCGATCAGTCTTCTCACAGAATCACGGACGATTTTGTGTTCATTAACATCCTTTGGAAAGCCTGGATCTCTGTTAGATGGGGCACCTTGAGTAATGGGGGCCTTTGTGGTTTTGTGCTCGCACGCACCGACGCACTCGTTTGTTTGGATTATAGCTGTTGTGTAACCTTTTCGGTAAGTCCCTTCTAGCACCCTACACTGGCGGCGACAAACTGCCTTTACTGCTTATTTTTCCGTGTAACAGAACCACTCAGATTGCCGTTTAAGTTATGGCGTCGGCTGAATTCTTCTTCTCTGAATTTTTGCTTGCATGTCGTAGGGTGCCAGTGAATCGCCCTGGTGAATCACATTCCTTACAGTAGAAGAAAATGCTCACGCTAACGGCTGCTGACTCCGAAAAATCACAACACGGAAAGTTACCTGGACGTGTTATCCACCGTCCTCAGCCTCCTTATGGTCAGTGTCTTGCACTCAGATTAACTACCTACCAAATAGTGAATGACGACGTATTTCGTATTCCCCTCCACTGGAGGGGCTTTAATCCGGCTTCAAACATCTTTTACTTCAGTGCAGCGTACGACGCAAAAAATCCATCGCAGTCTGTGGGTTGACAGCTCTAGCCAACATTAGAAGGATTGCCCAGTACCGAATGATTTTGTACCTGAGATCCTAGAAACATATCTGCAGAACTTGTGAATCACCTGTTACAAGGTTTTATCCTGGTGCCGTTGATTCGTCTCCGATTTATTACCCTGCATTTTGCCATCGAACTTGCGCTTTATCCGAACGTCAGTTGTACGCCCATCTACTGAAACCCAGAAAGGGGAGACGGTAGAAGGCTACTGAAGAGTATTAAGCAAACTTTTATGTGGGCGGTCATTTCAAGAACAATCGTTTAGATTTTGTTGTGCATTAACCGTGTGGGCAACCGCTCCGTTTTATCGCTTGGCGTTTTATTGGTCCGTTACTTATCACGTATTGTTCCTCCTCTATTAATTTACCTCCTCGTTGTGTTGATTTCTGTGTGGAACTTGTAAATCAAACGTCACATTGTGTATAGTTGGTGGTGTTCATTCGTATTTCATTAATTCATGGGCAATTCCAATACAACCTCATGTTATATTTGGACGTTGAATTGTACGCCAATCTAATGAAACCCGAAGGGGGAGACGTGTAGTGAGCTGTTGAAAACTATTCAGCAAACGTTTAGGTATGCGGTTACTTCAAGACTATTTGAACATTCTTGAGTGTGTATCAACCGTGTGGCCAACAGACCTGTTGTGTCGCTTGGCGCTTTGATCTTCCCGTTCGTAGGCAGGTATTATTCCTCCCATGGTAATCGGTCCCTCTGTTGTGTTGAAGTTTTGTGCGGCATCGCGCATGGGGCGCATCCAAAACACCTTCTTTAGGGTAATTGGATAATGTGGTGTACAAGATACTCTAGCTCTGAGTCAGTCCGGTCCCTTGCGCGTAAACACGGGCAGTTCAATGAAACAGCAGCAGGCCGACAGTCTCGTGAGTGAACGACCGCCAAGCGGACACTCCATAACGAGTACCAGTCTGGTTGTTAGACAAACTGACACAGTCCCACCAGCTTCAACCAACTAGTCAGTGAAATTGAGACATGAAGTGTAAGAGCATATACAAAATCTTAGAAACCAAGTTTGCCAATGCATCTCTAGTACTGTTAGATTGGACAAGAGAAAATCTGGGTTTTGTTTCGACAGCCGATCCGAAATTTTGCTCACTTGTGTCATTTGGCTGGTCTATTTTACTCATCCTATACATCTGCCGTGTATTAATACGTCAGACTGGTGGAAGTATTTTGATGGGTTCACATGACCTGATGCCCGGACGGTTTTGCCTTAATTCCCGCGCCAGAACCGAAAGAATTCTGGACTTTCAGTCCGATGCGGAAACACCACCCCCGTCTTCTTACGGTAGATGAACACGATACGGACCGGCCTCAATTCATTTTATTTTGGCAAAACCGCACGGAGGACTGCGTGTCCAATGAAGTTCTGACTGGGTGTATGAGAAGTTATGCAAATTCGACTGGGCCTGGTCTCTAGTCCGGTTAGAAATTGCAATTTGAGCAGTGTGTTTCAGTCGACAGAACTCGAAAACTGTCCTAACTGTTTTGATCGACCAGCCCATTATTATTCGTCTTGTAAATATGTCGGGCAATATTGCGCCAGATTTGTAAAAGAGTCTTGATTAGTCCACAATACCTGAGAATCCGGACGGTTTTAACTAAATTCCTTCGGTCTATACCGATCGATATCTTGACCGTCAGTTTGATGGAAAAACCCATGTCTTCTAACGGTAGAAGAACAGAATAAGACCGGTTGCAATTCATTTTGTTTTGGTAGAATCACACAACACGGTGCGTGTCCGTTAGGAGCAGACGCTGTAGAAAGACTCGATGAGGATTTCGGCCTCATATCCGGCTTTGCGCAGCTCCATCAGATGAGTTAAGTACTGAATCACCTCGACGACCTGAAGAAAAGAGATAAAAGAATATCAGTTGGTAAATCTGTGTAGGCATGGAAACGAAAATACCACCACGCATACGACGGACCGAGACTATGCATGAACAACACAGGTTTGGACCAGTGCCTGGGGGTGTTATCAAAAGAACAGGAAATTGTGTTCACACAAGATTCACCTTAACGTACACAAACAGAAGTCAGCATTCCAGAGAAAGTGTGCCAACTACGCCAAAGATTATGGAATATTGTCAGTGAGGCACCATGAAGGTTGAGCAGATACTAGGCCCGAGATTAGAAAAATACTTATGGGAGGTGTTGGCGACTGTCAGCATATCTGAATTTGGACATTTCGTATTGTCAGTGAGGCACCATGAAGGTTGAGCAGATACTAGGCCCGAGATTAGAAAAATACTTATGGGAGGTGTTGGCGACTGTCAGCATATCTGAATTTCGGACATTTCGAAGCGCCTTGATATGAACTCCTCCACTGCTAACAGACACCACGGAAAAGTCTCTAGCTACGTGGCAGATGCGTGAAACTCTGTGGGCTCCTCGAAACAGAAGGTCGACGAGAAATCAGGAAGTGCGCTCACCGTGTGAGACCCGAGGATGACATGACTGGTCCTGAGCAGCTTTGAGCAACCATTTGAAAAGTTCAGTTTAGGTTGCCAATCCGGGACTGCAGGTAATGAGATATTTGAATTGGAAAGGAACGTCCATATTAAGATAGGATTCTGGTTGCCACAGCTGTCAATCGTAAATGTGAAATAACGGAAACCTATCGAGATGGTTTTAAGAAATGTGAAATGATCCAGACAAACTGGCTTGTTGATAATCCAACGCATTACTAAAAGCTATTCACACAAACAGGGAAGCGTGCGGGTTATTCTGGGCTCACCTGTGCTCTCCAGTGAGCATCTTCTGTAGAGAATGGCTTTGAGGGGTTACATCAACAGGTCTTCGAAACAATGAAACCATCACACACAGACAAAATGCAATAGAAATACCCATATAAACATGAGCTCCTCATTCCACGGTTTTGTTTGAGCTGTCTAATGTTTGAAGGCCGATTTGTTCGGAAAATCTTCCTCGAAATCGTTCGATTAGAGTAAAAAATACCAGGATCTTCACCCAGAATTGCTGGCTAAATTGGGCTTCACCACATTCCTTAGCAGTGTTGAACACGCGAATACTTCGTAAAGAATGTTCGGTGTCACGTCGGTAAAAAAGCAATCACACTGCCCTGGTGATCGGATAGGGCAAGCTAGGGCTTCATTCATTTCCGACGAGCTAAACACTTAACTGAACTGAAATGAATTGAAATGAATTGAACTGAATTGAACTGAACTGATGTCACGTCTACTGAACTGAACACAACTGAACTGCACTGGACTGAACCGAACTGAATTGAACTCAACTCAACTCAACTGAACAGGAGTGAAACTAATTGAACCTAACCTACCTGAATTGAACTAACATGAACTGATCCAAGCTTAACTGATATTAACTGAACTGTACTACTCTAAACTGAACTCAATTGAGCTTCACTGAAGGAAACTGAACAGAACGGAGCATAACTGAGCTGATCTGAACTTAACTTCATTAAAATAAACTTAAGTGAACTGAACTGAACTGAACTGAACTGAACTGAACTGAACTGAGCTGAACTGAACTGTACTCGGAAGACTTATTCAACTGCCGTCACTGTTGCTGTATTCATTCCATGCATTCGGACATCTTATTCCTGAACAATTCCGATTGCTTATAAATCCGAATAATGCACATCACTTTCCACCTTTTATGATTCGCTCTCGTGATCACGGCATAGACATAAACTTGCTTGCAAAAATAGCCCACACGCCTTTGAAACCACGTTTCGGGATGAACGTCCGATTTCAAGAAATGGACGAGAGTGCTAGTGATGTGAGTACTAGATTTGCCCCGAAATCTCCTAGCATAAGTGTCATTTGAATACTCTGGGACTTATACCCATCTTATGTGATACCAAGGCTGAATGCACTGGAACATAATGTATAGAAATTTTGCACCATCGTTTGCTTGCACCACGAAGTCTACTCACCTGCTGAATTGTGAAGCAGTGCGCCTGGAATTGATCGAATACTCCCTTGTAACACGTGAGCTCATCCCTCTTGGACAAGCCCTGTATCGTTCGCTTATGATGGGTTGCCACATCCATGACGATGTCGTGAAATGTCTCCTTGACGACGTGGCTAAGCTGGGAGAATCGATTGGAATAGTTTCGTGAGATTATCGATAAACTATAAAATATTTCTCGCACATCTAAGCGGACCATGTTTGATTTTCGGGTGACTTAAAAAACGATTCCATAATACTATATAGACTAACGTTTACCTGCTCCCATGCATTCTCAACACGTATTCTCCACCACACAAATCAATTCTTACCCAGAGCGGTCTTTTTATCATGCATTCATTTCCACTTTCGGAATGAATTGTGTACGAAAAAACCACAAACCTGAAGTGCACGGTGTAGAATTCGCCGGGCAATTTATTGTTCCTCCTTGGTTTTGGCCTCCATCAGGCGTCAAAACGTTAAAATCAAATGTGCCAGAGAAGGAGATTTTCTATCTACAGCGTTCGGCTTGAACGGAGAAAACAATTGTGCTGCATTTAAAGTTAGCATGAGTTTTGTCAATGCTGACTGGGAGAATGTTTATCTCAGGCTAATCACTATTGAGGAGAAACTACCCGATATACCTACCTATCTTCTTCAAGTGAACTGCTGTGCGGATTATGAGGTATTTGAAATGGTGACATACGTACAGGATATGGTAGGATTTCCGTTGTAACAACTGCCTATCGTGAATGTGGGGGAAGAGAAACCGATCGAAATGGTCTTGGGAAATCTGAAATCAGTTGGGCAACTTGGTTTCTTGATAACCCACCAAAGTTATATAAGTTATTTATCCGTACCGGGTTCGTTTTCAACCATCCTCCACCATTAGATCATGTCCTACGAAACCAGCCGGACCAGTATAATACCTGTTCGTTTCAATGGAGTTGCTCTCTACAAAATGGTGAGGTGGATTCCAAGAACGCCATCACTAAGGATGGATAACCTCAGACTTGCTTACGCTCCCACTTGCAGTTGTGTGCCAACAGTGATCAGCAATTTTGTCGTTGAAGTGCATTCTTTTGTCTGGACTGCAGATTTCGGAGGTTCAGACAAAAGAGCGAGTGGATCACCATCAAGAAAGTATGAAATAGTGAGCTGTATAATCGACGAACTGATACTGTAACTCACAGAAACATGACGCTCCAAGAATTCGTAAACGAACAATGTGAATTGAAGGTCGCTAAAAATTCTCTGAGGGAACACCATGGATTTCACTTTTCTGAGGATCAATTAGAAAGGCGCAGCCATTGAATTTCCCTAAATCATAATCACTTCGAGAAATCAGACTGGATGGAGCTCATCAAACATCAGTCCTTCCAAATTACATCAGTCTGTAGATATATAGCATGATTTTCTCTGGTAAGACCTCCGTCAGAAGAGACGACTGACGGGATCGGTCACTTCACCGGTATTATAACTGTTGTTTGATCCGTGGAAGTGTACTTTTTATAAGATACTCACGATTCATTCATAATTCACAAACACGGTATCCACCCGGGAATGGTGGTTGTTTCAAAGGGACGCCATATATCACAGGTGTTGCGCCGATATTGCGTTGCTTCTTCTAACCAGCTGAGACACGTTCAGCAGCAGAGGTGACATTAATCAATGAAGGTGGGGTGTTGCCCGCCATCTGGCTAAAAGCTTCTCGCAGATGACCAGGTACTACCTGTAGTCTAGGATTACAACAGAACATTGATGAACCATGCTTGCAACTTCTTTTTGATGCACCGGCTAGTGCGGTATTTCAACCGAATTGTGAGGGATGATATCCCGCAGGAGCCCCAAGATTGTCAGCCTAAAATGACGCTACGTACTTCCCACATCTGAAGGAAGAATATCGTGGAAGATAGAGCCAGAGAAGCGAGCATCCATGTAGAGCACCATATGTTTGTACATTTTGTTTGCATACATGTAGACGAGAATCTCGCTGAACTCCGCGGCATCGAGCTGTCGCAAGGCATGAAAGAAAATTCGTATGGGCTCGAACGATTATAGCTGAACGAGTATTGAGTTATTGAAAATACTGTCCACTAGGGTCAGTTGAAGCACAATGTTGAGTGTGTCTAGCGTAGTCCTCTTGTGCATATAAGTGAGCACCCTGTTGAACGTTATTTGTTGGCATGGAATATCAGTGTCACCATGTTCCCTGTAGTGTAAGTAATCTATCCTGGTGACGGTCAGTAAATCTCCCTTGGAAAGGGCACGCAAGGACCAATGTTAGAGCGAATAAGCGTGCAGTCGCAAAATCAGAATAATGAGTGGCCGGTTTGAGCGACTCATTTCCGAATGTCAATTTTACGGTCATCCACATCCGTAAGTCACATTTCCACATCTCATCCCCAGAGGTCGACTAGATAGGTTTCATTGCATAATAAGAATGACTGTAACGAATAAAAGCCATATGAATGCCCTCAGCACAAATAATCCTTATTAGAATGCGGCCTTTATATAAGCGAATTGCAGCATAAGTCTTGTACTGCTTGTTACACAAGCCAATCTTTGGAGGGAATCACGAAACTTTAGAGTGTTTTCATTCAACATTGAAAACTTCCAAATGAAAGCTCACTACTAACACACTGTAATTATTACAGAATTAACGATGATTCACACGGTGAATGCATTTAAATAGTGGGTTGTCACTCGACCAGGTAGTCACCAGTGATGTGGATCTCTTGCTTGAAGAATGAGGGACTAAGTGCGGATAAGTCGGGACATCTGTTAGCCGCCCGTGGCCGAACGGTTAAATTTTGCAACTTATAAGCGCACAAATGATGATTGCAATAAGGATAGAACATTCGTACGTTCCTTCAAGTCTTTCCATCTAACGCCGGCTTCTCACATAGAGATACAAAGCCTCTTCATATTACCAAAGATTCGCGTTGTCACTCTGCAATTACGTAAAATCATCTCGATGTTTTTAGGAGAATTTCGGCGGACGCGTTCTCTGTAACATTCTGCTTATCATCTACGCCTAATGAGCCACCGAATACGACCAGCTTCATTGTTTATTGAATCCAGCTTTGTTTGGCAGTCCAAATGAGTCAAGCGCAAAATTATGTGAGTTGAGCGATCTTGTAATACAAAATACGTGTGATGTCGCCATTTAAAGCACCTGGTCGAGACCTTCCAATTTTGTGTTGGACCTGTCCAAACCACATGGATTCTGTTTCATTTTTCGGTTGACATGTACGCCAGTTGTAACTATTACCGATAACAACGCGTCAAGATTTGTCCATCTAGGCTTCTTCAGTGTGTTCACAATTGGACCTCCGTTTGAAAACCTATAACCTTTGTAAAAAAAACTTAACAAAACTTACTGCTCCACTTGGGAAGGAAATACTGGGAACCCCATCATGGCCAGTGTAATAGATGAAGATGTTGTCATCAGGACCGCTGTTAGTAAACAGGAAGGTTACGGTTGTCTTGAAGGGTGGTTTTGGATGGCGCCATCGCGCACGAGAAGGCACGACAAGAAGCCCTGGAAATGAATACCTGATGATAATATTCCCCAAATATACGGGGTTCGTCAAACGTTGCAGAAACCGAGTTGTACCGTAAGCGGCCTTGTCCAACTGATGATTAAGGATAAAAGAAGTTTCACAATTTCTATACGCTTTATTCGTTGAGCACCTAACACGAATGGAGTGAAAGTATAGCGAACACGCAGGCTGGAACACTGATTTTACACAATACTTGGTGTAAGGAGTAGTTAATGTAACTCCCACTAGTCTGCTAGTTACGTGACCCCATAAATCTGGGAATGGAAAATCGATTCTTTGAACGTCTGTTGGTCTATTATTGTATCTTGACCATGCAAAAATACGCACATCTGAATAGGTTCGACACTTATTAGTAATGGTGCTTGATGCCTATGACGTGATGAAAACCCATTGTCTGAAATTGATCAACCGGGTCTCCCCTGGACTGATATCTGAGAGCTTTACTTAAAAAAAAGATTTTGTACCACAAAAATATTAAACGCGCAATTCTTTATCCGAAAACGCTGACCTGGAAAACTAGAAGTCTGGATATGATCAGAAAATACATCAAAAATATCAACTTCCATGGTCTCACCTTTTCAACACCCTCTTCCCTTCTGTTCAAGTTTCTTATCGCCTGTCAATACTTTCCACGAAGATATCCGGTTTGACATGCTGAAACAGATAGGCACGCATAATGGAATATTTCTGTGACAATAGTGTTCCCCACACTTATTCAATTCGCGGTAACCATCCATTTGCAATCTACCAAACAGTTGACACTTAAGATATGCCCTCTAGTGTCATTCAGACTACCTTCTGACGGTCAATGAATACTGAAATCTGAAAACGTAAATGTTGGTCTGTATGCCGCACGGGGCAGTTTGATCGGGCAGGTTGCCAAGAGGAGCTTTGATAGGTACCAATTGCCAGCCTTTATCCGGTGTTCATAGAGAGCGTTTTGCAAGTGGTGCATCCAGGGGGCACCACAATTTCGAGCTTACACTTCATAAACGACGCGCTGCATCTGGTTTCGGACACCGACACACGCAGCAAACCCCTAGTGGTTCTTTTGACAACAGCGGTAGCTTGAAAAGTTCAAATCGAGAACGACGCTTTGAAGATACCGCTTGATAGTTCGCAAGAAATAGATTGAACTCAGTCGTGGGCTGCTTGTTAGATTTCTACGATCTTATGCGTAATGTTCGTTCAAGTAAATCCACCATTCTTTAACGGTCGGTCTGCCCTAGGGACATTATTTTGTTGTGACATGCAGTTTCATGCTACCTGCACCTTGGTACACGGTGATTTGACGCGAAAATTCGTTCGGTTTACGTGCGCTACAACACGGGCTTACTTTTCCACGGTAGTCAATTACCACACCCTTGTACACATCTTCGTGCTCGTAATCATTAAAGACTTTACCTTTAACTGGATTTCTGGAGTAAAAGAATGAAATTAAGAGTGAGTTTTTCTGGAAGAAATTAACCCGTAGGTGGAACCGAAAGAAACGAGTGACCAGTCTAGTTCTGCTTGAATTCGGTCGCCGGGCTTGTTGTTGGATAAATTTTCACGACCGTGAGTGCTCTTTATATCATAAACGTTTCACTAAGTGTTAAGTAACAATCTTTAAAGCTGTAATCAAGTAGGAATCCTACGATGATCCCAGTGAGTATACAACTTAGAACACTATAAATTCAACTTTTAGTTAAAGATACAGCGAAACACCACCAGGTGTAGATTTTGTGGACATATCCTCACCCAGAGCCAGTGAATGAGCAATAAACTACTTAGGATTTTCACAAGATCCAAGCAAGAACAAACTCCTTATGTCTTTCAAATGTTTCTCTTTCTTATCCTAGCAGTCGGTTGCATTACAAACTGATAGGCTCACCAGATTGTCTGCTTAAAACTTGCTCCAAATCGTCTGTTGGCGGATTCGTTCAAACGGCATCGAGCTATCAATGTCAATTTCTGGTTAGTGACAAATGAAACGTGCTTGAAACGTGCTATTCACAGGCAAGGATATTCCAGAATGGTTGAGATGTGATCTGGTATTGATTGTGCTGATTACATCAGGGTGCTATAACGTTTACGGTCATGAAAAGGCATGAGTGAAAAAGAATTCAAGGTACATCTGCAACGTCGGACGAAAGCGCATAAATATTTGCAACCCGAATTCCTCCATGAATTATATCCCTGGAAATAACAGACCACAAATGAAACAACTTTCAAACCAAACTACGAGACATGATTTTTACAGTCTATTTGCTGTCAGATGGCAAAAAATAAACGAGATTTTCACTTCAGATGCTTTGCAATATCGTCGTAGGCAAAGGTAATTATATTTTCCGCTGGAATTTTATTTGCACCCAAGACGTAATAGGCGTGATAAATGTTCGCCTGAAGGAAAATACGAATGATTGGTGAGTTAGTGATAACAGGCAGAGGCAAAAGAAGGCACACAGAGTGACTAGAATCATGCATATTTGGTGGAGTGGCAATTCTTTCAAAAGCATTTAGATGCATTATCACTAACCAATAAATTGAATGTAACACACTCACTTGTGTTCCCGTTGATCAGTTGCGTGAATTTGGGCACGGCAGCTAACTACTCAGATATTCGGCCGTCGCGGAGCTGAAATACATTGTTTGGGATTTTCAATCGAGATTTTATCCTTTAGCTGATGCCGGAACCTCGGGTTCACTATACACTTCATTGATCTTTATTGAGAATTATATGTAATGCACATTTCGGGCTTCACTGGAGGGACTCCAACCCTCTATCTCCCGACAATCAATTGAAGGCTGAATCACTCGGCCACGAGGAGGTGATCAGTGTTACGATTAGCTAGCGCTCCACCTTACGTGAGAACGTGGTTTGATGGGGATTCCTCCAAGAAACGAAAATACCTCAAATCGTCGTATGTACGGTTAATCCAAATTTATTTTCACTAGTGTTTCGCTGCATTGGGTTTATCAGTTTCTTGGGACACCATCACACGACACAAGTTTCCTTCACGACTAGTACATCAGGCATCACAGAATGCTTTCGTGATAATCTCCTCAAAGCCGTTTTTCATATGCCACTGTGAATAATAAAATTTCGTTAAAATGGCGTAAATTTGGTGCCGAAATTTAACCCGAAAGTGCATTGCTGATTCTTTCGAAAGTGAGTGATTCAAATGGGTGAAAGTGATGCAAATCCACGCCTGGATAGTTTCCACGGTCGTCAATCTCCATCAGCATCAAATCTCATCGCAAATAGCTATTTATCCGGAAAGAAAAAAAATCAAACGAGATTTTACATCACAGCGATAAGTTCTCCCATGAGGATGAAACAGTGGTGATTGTTCTAGCAGCTGATTGAGAGGAGGATGCGGAGGGTTCCTTATTGAGTCCTACACGATTTCCTACAGCTCTCTGATTGTGCTGTTTCTTTCTTAGAGTTTCCTTGGATGCATCTTGCTCCTAGTGTTTCGTTAACTAATTGACGGATGCTGGTCATCTCTTGACCAGCAGCGTGTCTAGCTTAGAACTGCGATCATTCTAATTACCACGGATAACCCTTTTTGTCTTGGAAGATGTTTCTTCTACGACCCTTCTACATGAAACCAACTCCTGAAAGAACTCAAAGCATGTTCCTGTTCTCCTGTTATCAGTATTGTCACTCGAAATGAAACTATGCTTCATCTGGATCTATCAGAGAGAAATTGAACCTCTTAAAGCCTTTCGGTTGATGCACCTCAAAACCCACTGAGCAGTGTGTATGCGACATTCACAGAACCTTTCATAACTGGTTGGTTATTGGGTAGAATCGATTCATGTTCAGGGTTGGAATTTCTCCTGTGACTTTCTGCACCATCCACCACCAATCTGAAAATCTACCAGTGCAATTGGGCTCTTGGTAGTCGAAGACACCAAGTTACCTTTTCTATCTCCGGGTGTTTCACTGTAACACCGAGCACCACTGATGGGACATGCAAGTAGTCTGGAGCACTCTTGAAGCTTCGCGCCGCGTCAAATTGAAGATGAATTCTATTACGGAATTTGTGGAAACGCTTTGCGGTGTCCTTATGAAATGGCGTAATTTTCACTTTCCCAAGACTCTTGAGAATGTTCGTTTTCAAAAACTTTGAGCCAATTAGACGCTTACTTTTGTGATTAATAATTTTAACTCCTCAGTTGGTGGTTGCCAATGAACGACTCCGCGGTGGAGGGAATTTACTCCTTACACTGATAGTATCACAGCTGAAATACAAGCAACGATTGCAAGCCTACAAGTGACCACATGTCGAATCGGCCGCGATTGGTGACATCAACCCGGTTGCCCTGTCCGCTGTATCCCAAAAACGAGTACCACCGAAGCCTTCCTTCCTTCCTTCTACTCCATATCTCCGGTATTTTCACTTTCCTAAACCCGGTGGCGGCGACGTCCACGTGGACCCTTTGTTATTATCTGAGGGATCCTTTTGCCTTTCATTGACGTCAACTGCAATATCCGCGGTCAGCACGTTTGCCAAAGCCTCAGGTACTACGAAATTATTCTTCAGTCATTCTGTCAATCTTAGGCAGGCTGTACGGTATGCCTTTTCTCTGGACGACTCGCCTTCTGTTTTTTTCCACATCCCACCAGCGTTGTTGAAATGATCATTCCATGGGCTTGCGCCCGCTTCTACTTACTCTCACAGAGAATGTTTCATTGATGCCTTCACAGGTAATTTTAAAGGTGTTCTGACTGCCCTGTATCGGCGAGATAAGGTCCCGTATAACATTGGGGTTATCGAAGTCATGAGTGCACAAGTGGACAGAATCAGCGCATCTACGTCTCATTTGAGCGGGTACAGAACCGGAGTTGAAATGCACAGACCACGGCGGACAGCTGAAGTAGCTACGTGTCCAATACGGGCGGAAGTAACTTCTGGAACAACCGAAGACACTCTGTCGTATGGCGCTCCATCATACAAGCCAAACTGCAACACCGACAGCCCACATCGACATTAGCTAAATGTGGCGTCGGTCGTTGTGCAACATCTGTATAAACACGTATCAAACGCTTTTTCGTTGCTGATTTGTGTTGCACGATTGTTGTGCTTGAATGATGAGCACACCTCAGCTAACCATTGAGGGGCATTTGAAACCTAACGTTAAACAAGCCTACCTGAACGAATATCGACGTCCCTACCGGACATGGCAACTTCTGCCGTTGAATCCTACTGCAAGGTGCTGTAGGCAAGATGCTGGGGCACTTTGCTTGTGGAATGGTGCAACAAACTAGATGCGAGTTTTGGATAATGGACACCAATCTAAATTTCTTCGAAAGTTATACAGGATTTTCTACAGGTAGAGGTGTTATTAACAACGTAGACCAAACCAACTCGAAATAACTTCAACTGAACATGGCATTGGAATAGCTTGTCGCTGTTTGTCTAACTGAACTGCTTTCTGCGGGCGGAAGAAACAGTCTCAACAATCTAAGTTGATTCGATAAGGCCCTAAGTGAGTGTATCTGTCCCCGGGGAATTAGCTTAATTTCCGTTGTGACGAGAATATTTCTTGCACCTACTTGATATCGTTTCAAGACGGAGTTTTAAGACGTGACCTAAGAACACGAAGTGGTGTTCCAGGCTTTCAGGAGTTGTGTGGAACACGGCTTCAAATTTCGTCAAGCTCAGAACGATGATATGCGTACACACCAGATCTTAGTATGCAGATCTTTGAATACAGACACACGCAATATGCGTTACCGTTTCACACACGATTTTCATATAACTCTATAAAATTGAGGTACGGGCGGATGGTCAAAATTAATCAAAGTAGAGTCCCATATGTTTGTTTCAAATGCACGCTACTTGATTTTACCAATAGGATAGAATTATCTGCTCATGTAGCCTAGACATTCTGGTGATTTCTTAATGAATCTGTTTGGCGTAACAACTGTTGTCACTGCTGGGCGAGTGGGCTTTGTTGAGATTTCAAAGACCCATTTTGTTAATCAGGTCACTCTAACATATGATACTGCGGATTCCGGGAGCGAATCTCAAGTAGGATAAATCTTCAAACCAAAGGTAGAAGTTTTATGGTGGTCGACGAATTCCCAGGATTTTTTTCACTTTATAGAAGATCATACCTTCCACTTGCACGCAGAGATTTCAACATCATCGTCATCAACATCATTGTCGGCTGTAGGAACCGGGTATTTGTCGTACCCCAGTTGTAGCTGCCGCGGTTTGCTTCACCGATGATTTGAGGGGGATAGTGTCGGTCTGCCCTAGGGACATTATTTTGTTGTGACATGCAGTTTCATGCTACCTGCACCTTGGTACACGGTGATTTGACGCGAAAATTCGTTCGGTTTACGTGCGCTACAACACGGGCTTACTTTTCCACGGTAGTCAATTACCACACCCTTGTACACATCTTCGTGCTCGTAATCATTAAAGACTTTACCTTTAACTGGATTTCTGGAGTAAAAGAATGAAATTAAGAGTGAGTTTTTCTGGAAGAAATTAACCCGTAGGTGGAACCGAAAGAAACGAGTGACCAGTCTAGTTCTGCTTGAATTCGGTCGCCGGGCTTGTTGTTGGATAAATTTTCACGACCGTGAGTGCTCTTTATATCATAAACGTTTCACTAAGTGTTAAGTAACAATCTTTAAAGCTGTAATCAAGTAGGAATCCTACGATGATCCCAGTGAGTATACAACTTAGAACACTATAAATTCAACTTTTAGTTAAAGATACAGCGAAACACCACCAGGTGTAGATTTTGTGGACATATCCTCACCCAGAGCCAGTGAATGAGCAATAAACTACTTAGGATTTTCACAAGATCCAAGCAAGAACAAACTCCTTATGTCTTTCAAATGTTTCTCTTTCTTATCCTAGCAGTCGGTTGCATTACAAACTGATAGGCTCACCAGATTGTCTGCTTAAAACTTGCTCCAAATCGTCTGTTGGCGGATTCGTTCAAACGGCATCGAGCTATCAATGTCAATTTCTGGTTAGTGACAAATGAAACGTGCTTGAAACGTGCTATTCACAGGCAAGGATATTCCAGAATGGTTGAGATGTGATCTGGTATTGATTGTGCTGATTACATCAGGGTGCTATAACGTTTACGGTCATGAAAAGGCATGAGTGAAAAAGAATTCAAGGTACATCTGCAACGTCGGACGAAAGCGCATAAATATTTGCAACCCGAATTCCTCCATGAATTATATCCCTGGAAATAACAGACCACAAATGAAACAACTTTCAAACCAAACTACGAGACATGATTTTTACAGTCTATTTGCTGTCAGATGGCAAAAAATAAACGAGATTTTCACTTCAGATGCTTTGCAATATCGTCGTAGGCAAAGGTAATTATATTTTCCGCTGGAATTTTATTTGCACCCAAGACGTAATAGGCGTGATAAATGTTCGCCTGAAGGAAAATACGAATGATTGGTGAGTTAGTGATAACAGGCAGAGGCAAAAGAAGGCACACAGAGTGACTAGAATCATGCATATTTGGTGGAGTGGCAATTCTTTCAAAAGCATTTAGATGCATTATCACTAACCAATAAATTGAATGTAACACACTCACTTGTGTTCCCGTTGATCAGTTGCGTGAATTTGGGCACGGCAGCTAACTACTCAGATATTCGGCCGTCGCGGAGCTGAAATACATTGTTTGGGATTTTCAATCGAGATTTTATCCTTTAGCTGATGCCGGAACCTCGGGTTCACTATACACTTCATTGATCTTTATTGAGAATTATATGTAATGCACATTTCGGGCTTCACTGGAGGGACTCCAACCCTCTATCTCCCGACAATCAATTGAAGGCTGAATCACTCGGCCACGAGGAGGTGATCAGTGTTACGATTAGCTAGCGCTCCACCTTACGTGAGAACGTGGTTTGATGGGGATTCCTCCGAGAAACGAAAATACCTCAAATCGTCGTATGTACGGTTAATCCAAATTTATTTTCACTAGTGTTTCGCTGCATTGGGTTTATCAGTTTCTTGGGACACCATCACACGACACAAGTTTCCTTCACGACTAGTACATCAGGCATCACAGAATGCTTTCGTGATAATCTCCTCAAAGCCGTTTTTCATATGCCACTGTGAATAATAAAATTTCGTTAAAATGGCGTAAATTTGGTGCCGAAATTTAACCCGAAAGTGCATTGCTGATTCTTTCGAAAGTGAGTGATTCAAATGGGTGAAAGTGATGCAAATCCACGCCTGGATAGTTTCCACGGTCGTCAATCTCCATCAGCATCAAATCTCATCGCAAATAGCTATTTATCCGGAAAGAAAAAAAATCAAACGAGATTTTACATCACAGCGATAAGTTCTCCCATGAGGATGAAACAGTGGTGATTGTTCTAGCAGCTGATTGAGAGGAGGATGCGGAGGGTTCCTTATTGAGTCCTACACGATTTCCTACAGCTCTCTGATTGTGCTGTTTCTTTCTTAGAGTTTCCTTGGATGCATCTTGCTCCTAGTGTTTCGTTAACTAATTGACGGATGCTGGTCATCTCTTGACCAGCAGCGTGTCTAGCTTAGAACTGCGATCATTCTAATTACCACGGATAACCCTTTTTGTCTTGGAAGATGTTTCTTCTACGACCCTTCTACATGAAACCAACTCCTGAAAGAACTCAAAGCATGTTCCTGTTCTCCTGTTATCAGTATTGTCACTCGAAATGAAACTATGCTTCATCTGGATCTATCAGAGAGAAATTGAACCTCTTAAAGCCTTTCGGTTGATGCACCTCAAAACCCACTGAGCAGTGTGTATGCGACATTCACAGAACCTTTCATAACTGGTTGGTTATTGGGTAGAATCGATTCATGTTCAGGGTTGGAATTTCTCCTGTGACTTTCTGCACCATCCACCACCAATCTGAAAATCTACCAGTGCAATTGGGCTCTTGGTAGTCGAAGACACCAAGTTACCTTTTCTATCTCCGGGTGTTTCACTGTAACACCGAGCACCACTGATGGGACATGCAAGTAGTCTGGAGCACTCTTGAAGCTTCGCGCCGCGTCAAATTGAAGATGAATTCTATTACGGAATTTGTGGAAACGCTTTGCGGTGTCCTTATGAAATGGCGTAATTTTCACTTTCCCAAGACTCTTGAGAATGTTCGTTTTCAAAAACTTTGAGCCAATTAGACGCTTACTTTTGTGATTAATAATTTTAACTCCTCAGTTGGTGGTTGCCAATGAACGACTCCGCGGTGGAGGGAATTTACTCCTTACACTGATAGTATCACAGCTGAAATACAAGCAACGATTGCAAGCCTACAAGTGACCACATGTCGAATCGGCCGCGATTGGTGACATCAACCCGGTTGCCCTGTCCGCTGTATCCCAAAAACGAGTACCACCGAAGCCTTCCTTCCTTCCTTCTACTCCATATCTCCGGTATTTTCACTTTCCTAAACCCGGTGGCGGCGACGTCCACGTGGACCCTTTGTTATTATCTGAGGGATCCTTTTGCCTTTCATTGACGTCAACTGCAATATCCGCGGTCAGCACGTTTGCCAAAGCCTCAGGTACTACGAAATTATTCTTCAGTCATTCTGTCAATCTTAGGCAGGCTGTACGGTATGCCTTTTCTCTGGACGACTCGCCTTCTGTTTTTTTCCACATCCCACCAGCGTTGTTGAAATGATCATTCCATGGGCTTGCGCCCGCTTCTACTTACTCTCACAGAGAATGTTTCATTGATGCCTTCACAGGTAATTTTAAAGGTGTTCTGACTGCCCTGTATCGGCGAGATAAGGTCCCGTATAACATTGGGGTTATCGAAGTCATGAGTGCACAAGTGGACAGAATCAGCGCATCTACGTCTCATTTGAGCGGGTACAGAACCGGAGTTGAAATGCACAGACCACGGCGGACAGCTGAAGTAGCTACGTGTCCAATACGGGCGGAAGTAACTTCTGGAACAACCGAAGACACTCTGTCGTATGGCGCTCCATCATACAAGCCAAACTGCAACACCGACAGCCCACATCGACATTAGCTAAATGTGGCGTCGGTCGTTGTGCCTACCTGAACGAATATCGACGTCCCTACCGGACATGGCAACTTCTGCCGTGGAATCCTACTGCAAGGTGCTGTAGGCAAGATGCTGGGGCACTTTGCTTGTGGAATGGTGCAACAAACTAGATGCGAGTTTTGGATAATGGACACCAATCTAAATTTCTTCGAAAGTTATACAGGATTTTCTACAGGTAGAGGTGTTATTAACAACGTAGACCAAACCAACTCGAAATAACTTCAACTGAACATGGCATTGGAATAGCTTGTCGCAGTTTGTCTAACTGAACTGCTTTCTGCGGGCGGAAGAAACAGTCTCAACAATCTAAGTTGATTCAACGAGGCCCTATCTCGACCGAAATGGATAATGCGCCGGCGATCACGGTCAACCGTTGGGCGATCGGAGTGTCGGTATTTGAGGCCGACATTTCCCAACCCGTCCTTTCTCGGGGTAAGGCAGCAACGCTGCTTCCAAATATATGAACATGCTGGTCGCCTGAGGGAGACACCTTACTGAATTCACACTCCTGTCGCACAGGACCGTACGACATTGCCCCTAGACCACCTCTTAGCACGAATAATCGTTGTACGACGTCTCGCTGCTATTGGTCTGGCAGCCCACCTTTGGATTTCCTGGCACGTTTGCAACTTGCGAAACAAAGTTACAAACAGTGTAGCCCGCGGGATCATTGCAGCATTGAAGCCCGACCACCATGTGAAGATGGCAGCTTTAGGTCGGGAGAATTCAACATAACACAAGATAAAACACTTGTGGGTGACGATGTTGTTCTCCGACCAACGCGGATCGCAGCGTTCACCTCTGTCCGGAGGATTGGCCCCACATACGACGGAGTATCGCAGCATGACAAGGAAATAGTGTTAAAAATCAACACCAATCATTGAACGTGTGTCGATTAGTTGGCACCTATCCATTGCCTTATTTAGTGGAATATTACAGCCATGGAGGAAAATAGGTAGGGAAAACTGTTTGGCGTAGCATAGAGGTGAAATGCCACTTTGAAAACCCCTTCGTGCTGGTTTTGTGGAACTCAGTTGTGAGCAAACAACGACAACCTACCTGATGCCGATAATTTACCCAGGAGTTGGATTCGGCGACAAGGAAAATCCAGTTCTTTGACGGCTTGTTAAATATCGGTGACCAATTGTGGACACTGGCGGCTTCCAGCCATGCAACGTGATCCATGCAGAACAAAAACGCAAAAAGAAGCAAACAACGACGGGTCATGTCCGGGCTTTCTTGAAGCTTCCTCTGTCTGGGATTTTATACTCTGCGTCCCTTGTGAATTGCACTTTGCCTTACACATGTATGGTGATAGTGTGAACAACCACTCCACCACAGATCTCATAGGACTGCGGTACAAAATTCATGCAAACCAGGGTATGATCGGCCATTTTGATCACCTTGTTCGATGAGTGATCATTTGAGAAAAGTTTTTTCGACAATGTGTGCACGATGGTGATTGGTGATGTTTTCTAGGACATTCGTTGAACGCCTACGCTTCGCACACAGTGCGGAGCAGTAAACTGAGTCTGCAAAATGGTTTCACCAAGCGCCTGGCTTCGTGAGTATCTCTACTGATAACTATGGTCCATGGGCAAATTGACACGGTTTTTTGCATCGAAAATCATAGTGAATTTGCTGCCCCGCAAATTTGTATTTTTGAAGCAGGTCAGGATAACATTTGACAAACAAATCTGTTCCGAAGATGGGGAGTTCTCAAAAGCTGGGTACTCACTCACTGCGTTAATCGACGGTTTCATGATGCTTCTGGTTAACTTAAGTGATTGACACTGAAGTTCACGCAAAGCTTCGAATAAGGGAATTAATTTTTCTTTATGGTTTTCAGTTTACACAACGATACATTTGATGGGCTCTTCCAAATTATTAGAAGTTTGCACTGGAACTTCACTCCTTTCTGTAACTGTTGATTTCAATTTTCCAAAGCGATTGTGCGTGCGATCAGATTTTCTCTCATCCTATTTTGATCAGATAGCGATGATATACCGTAACAAGCCACACAATCTAAATACTTTGAAGGATTTATTAGTAGTTGTCGTTTTGATGAAAAATACACTTTGTGATTCGCAAGGCCCACTCGAACAAGAACGTCTCTTTGGTTTGCGGGCTTCCAGAAGTAACTTGAATGTATGTGCTTTGATTTCCGTGACTTGGTGTAAAACGTGCAGTCATCAATTCACGGTGCGGCATTCACCTACGTTCACCCGTTCAATCACCACATCACCATTGTTGAAGATAATCTGCTGAAATTCGAAGTGATAAAATAACCGATCTGATATTGTCAACATAATAATAATAGCAATAATTCGGCTGCAGCACTATTTTAGTATTCAGGCGACTTATGGCCGGAGGGAAGCACAACCGCTGAGCAGTAACTTAGTTGTCCAAGCCTGAACAAAATTAAATGAGTTGCAAAGGCTTGATTCGAAACGCGGTCGGTAATTTCGAACCCTGACCACTGAACTATCCTGAGCGCCTTAGCTGACTTGAACTACCGAGAGTAATTTTCTACGGATGGGATGAAGTTCAGCCTTCTCCTGGAGGTTTCGCTTACTGGATGGAAAATTGTCAAAAGTCCAAAACCACACTAATTGCTAAACTTTTCCGCATGTTCCTATTAAGTCGAACATATTCACTTGTTCTTTTGTTTTGGCTTTGTGCCCATGTCCACTGGACTTGTTTACGACCTAAATGTTAACTAGTATTTGACATTCATCAAACGCCCGATCACCAATCCACATCGATATAGTACGCTCAACAGATGACCAATTAGGCTTCATCGTCATGGCATATTACATCATCAAAGTCATCGTCATCATCATCACCCTCATCACCATCCTCGTCCGCGACAGCATGATATCAATGTTGAACACTGAGGCTTCACTGCTGTACGACCACGATTCAGTTGGTAGCCTTGCTGTGAAGAGAAGAATAAAGGTAGACAGTGAAGTGACTTGGTTTTTGCTCACCACAATCATTCTCATTACCTACAACTCCAAGCATGCATTCAGGCAAACTACGGAGGGACTCACAACACGAGTGCCAGTAACATTGGACACCAGGCATGTTCTGCAGCACCTTTAGCTTCATTTGGTTTCAGAAAAATCACTCCAATCCTGCGACCGTTGTGGGAGATTTTTGGGTTTCGAAAAGCTCCGTCCATTTATAAAAAGTCACACAAAATTCTCACTTTTCAAACCCGGTTTTCGCGAAACTGTGGATGTGTACCTGCAAGTCCGCCATAAATAGAGCTCACCAGGCTATTGAAATCCTCGGTGGTCTTCGTTTGTGTAATTTTGGCCCGCTCCCTGAAAGAGGCCCGAATTTTATGCGAGAAAGCCTTGTCCCCGGACGGAGATTTATCTTTCTTTGAGCAGGATGGGAGTTTGCGTGTTTCTTGCGCTGGATACCTAAACATTCGATAAAGCTTTACAAACCGCTCAGCTTGTTTATTTAGATGGCGACTGCACACAAAGATGGTACTGCAGCTGAATTGTCAATATGTTCACTGCTATTTTATCCCCTTCAAAAGCACTAGACATTTTCAGCTCTACTGCTGGGATGATTGGACGGGTGAACTTAAATGATTATCACCTCGCAAATGAAAAATAATAATAGCAGTTAAACGCAGTACTCAGTACTTAAGAACACATTTTTGCTGTGCTGCATTTTTGTTGACCGGTCCAAGCACTGAAAATAGTTTGAGACGTTGCCAAGTCTGGAGACCAAACGGCTAATTTATATCACCTGATGTATAACCTGTCCGTGATGACTACCAGTGGGATTGCAAATATCCATTATACATTCGCCATCTGCGGGAAGAAACACAATCGCTTTTCCGGAATAAGCGGGCTAAAGGTTACAAGAAGAATCGTGCAATTTCATCCTTAAATCTGGGCTTTTGCCCGGCCTCTGGTGCCTCATAAATCGTAGAACCCTGTAGTAGGTAACCTTAATCAATTATATTGTCGTCAGTGATTTCCTGGTTTTGTAGGGTGTGCATTGCTGGTGATTCACACTAAGAATGAAACCGCTTTTACACTGCTTCTCAGTCATTTGACATGACTGCCTTCACTTTCAAGAGGAAACCTCCGCCGAAAATTCTACGATTTTCTCACCAACAGTATCTCTGCATTGCAGCTATCAATTGTACAATTGTGTACCGCGCGAGCAGTTTAAACGCGACAAAAATTGGGCTGCAAACCGGTACCAGAACACTGTCTTTTAAATTCCGTTGAAATAACCAGCTGATGCGTGATGCAGTGTGCTTCAAAATGACTATACACCGCCTGGTAACAAGCGACATCCTCTGACATTGTCCACCTGTTGGCCCTTGGTAGATGCAGGGTTTTTGCATCCAGAATGACTGTGTCAGAAGTTGTCGCCGAACAACTGCATAATATGAGGGCCAGGAGAAAGAAGATGACATCAGACTGTGCAAAACTGAGCGCAGCATGAAGAATGGATTACACGCTTGAAACTCGGAACCTATTGCTTACAAAGACTCCCAACCAGGCTTTAATCAGCATTGACAAAATGATAGTGGCAACGACTTTGCGTGGACTTATGTATTATCCCGACGAAGCAAGCTTAGTCTAGCACGGGTATCCAGTTACAGCTCAAAACTCCAGTAGAAAGTGCGACACTTGATCAATGCCACATGTAACGAATTCTTACTAACCAGCATTGAGATAACTGATATAGTTGCAATCACCGATGTGGATCAGAAAATACTGAAATCATCAAGCATAAGGTACGTGACTCGGAGGACCTAAAATTCAGAGTGATTCCAATATTCGCCCACTAAAACATGCTAATTAGTTTCCATATCCAGCACATTAACCACGCAGACTCCCATCCTGCTCAAAGAAAGATAAATCTCCGTCCGGGGACAAGGCTTTCTCGCATAAAATTCGGGCCTCTTTCAGGGAGCGGGCCAAAATTACACAAACGAAGACCACCGAGGATTTCAATAGCCTGGTGAGCTCTATTT